AAGGCTGGCATTTATATCTACTTACAAAAATTAATGAGGTCACTGAATCAGCATGGATTTCATTTCAAGGTGACAGGTTTTGGATTCTATGTGAAGATGTCATCCTAAAAACAAATTGAGTTCCTCAAGAAGCTTCACAAAACTGGCTTCAGTGCTAACATAGAGAAAGTCAAATTAAAGGGAAGAAAAAATGACTTATATACATTAAGGCCAAAGGGTCTGATTTACAATTAAATCTTTAATGAATTTTGCATTCTTGATAGAATTTTCACTCCTTGGATCAGAATGAGAAAACCTGGGATCCAACTTAAACTGCTTGCACCACAACTCACATTTAATGTCATGGGAGACAACTTTTTCACATTCAGGAAGAAAAAATTTTCAACCATTTTTCAACCATGAATAATTGCAGAGGTTATAATAGATACTATAGGAGTTTTCCCATTCATTATTAAGAAAGTCTGGTGGTTGGTTTTTGTTCTACTCAAAAATAAATGATGTGAAGACTTTGGTGGTTTGATATGCTTATTTTTCTTCTCAATGAAAAAATGGTAACAAACTTGATCTTGCACGTTTTCACTATTGTCCTTTTTCATATTGGAAATTTTGTGGCTCCAAAGGTCAAAAATGAGGCACACTCTGGATTTGGGGAGGGCTGAAAATATAAGATTTAGATGCAAGAGAATCATCAGCCTTCCATCAGAACCTCAAAGCAGAGATTTGATTTGTATAAATGTCTTCCTATTGCTTTCATTTGAAAAAACCTTCCCAGCAAAGAGTAAAGGAAAAAATTGTTATTTGCAGCCAAGCCTGCAGGGAATACACTGAAGTTGAGTTGCTCCACTCACTGTTTATATATTGCTATAAGGATAACCATAATATTAGACTCCAGTAGAGATATTGATATGTTCAAGTGATCTCCTGCATTAAAAAAAATAAGTGTGTCCAATAAAGGGTAATAGAGTATAATTGGTAAATATAGAGTAAAATCGTAAAAAAACTGACTGTTGCTTCTTTAAAGATGGATTCCTTTAAAATACAATCTATATATTTCATTTTTATAAGTAGTTGATATACTATAGAATATTTGATATAGTATTCTTACTATATTGGGGCCTGCAGTGTGTGGCAGCAACCAAAAAGGCTGATACAGTCCTTGGTTGTATAAACAGAGGCATGGAATCAAAATCACGTGAAATTTTAGTATTTCTTTATAAATCCTGAATAAGGCCACACCTGGAATATTGCCTCCAGGTCTGGTCACCACATTACAAAAAAGATGTTGAGACTTTGGAAAAAAATGCAGAGAAGAGCAACTGAGATGATTAAAGGCTTGGAGACAAAAACATGAAGAACAGTTGCAAGAATTGAGTAGGCCAATCTAGAGAAAAGGATTATGAGTGACATGATAGCAATATTTCATTATTGAGGGACTGCCACAAAGAAGAAGGGTCAACTTAATTTCCAAAGTACCAGAAGGCAAGAAAAGAAACAATGGATAGAAACTAATCAAGGAGAGAGGCAACCTGGAATTAAGGAAAAAAATTCTAACCAGTGGAACTGTTTGTCTTCAGAGGTTGTAGGTGCTTCACCACTGGAGTTTTTTAAGAAGAGACTGGCCAATCACCTATGAAATGATATAGGGTCTCCTGAGCAGGGGTTGGACTAGAAGATCTACCATGTTTTCCCCAAAATAAGATCCAGTCTTATATATTTTTTGCCTCCAAAAGAGGCACCAGGTCTTATTTTCAGGGGATGTCTTACTTTAGGATTGCCACAGCCAGGCCTTCAATACCCTGACACCTGTCGCACTGCTGCTTGACTTCTTTAGTGGCTGCTTGCTGCTGCTTGTGGCCAGACGCCACGTGGCACATAGCAGTGGTGCCGCTGCTGATAGCAGGAGGCCGCGTGGTGCTTTCGGATGGTGCCACTGCTCACAGCAGGAGGCCACATGGTGCGTCGGGCTGGTGTGAGTGGCACCAGCCTGAAATGCGATGCGGCCTCCTGCCACGTTACCAGCCATGCAGCTACAAGCAGCCACAGAAGAACTCAGGCAGTTGCAAGATAGCTGTCAGGGCATGGGAGGTCTGGCTGCAGCGGTCCTACTGGAAAGGTAAGTAGGTGTGGGGTGCGTGGGGCAGCTCTACCCTTTCACTCTTTCCCTAGCTTGATTTGTGTCCCTTGCCCCCAAACTAGGGCTTATTTTGGGGGTAGGTCTTACTTTTGAGGAAACACAGTACTAGGTCCCTTTCAGCTCTATTCTCTATTCTGATTATTTTGGAAAATAATAAGTTTGTCAGTGTGTCTCTGTGTGTAACAGAATAACAGAGTTGGAAGGGACCTTGGAGGTCATCTAGTCCAACCCCCTGCAAGAAACCCTATACCATTTCAGACAAATAGTTGTCCAACCTCTTCTTAAAAACCTCTAATGTTCCAGTTACCATTTGAAAAAGCACCTTTGGGATTATTCTGTTGAAATGACATATCTATTGAACCAAGGCCAGCCAAAGCACGGGGGAAATTACCTATCCCTATAACATAATGAGATGACACCATTTTTGCACTCTGTGCTTCAAAAACTAACAAACCCTAGGTTGTGGTTTATAAATCACAGCAGTTGATGTGATTTATCACAGATGTGAAGGCAGAACGAAACCACAACCAAACTTGGTGTGTGGCATGAGAGAGGGGAAAATAAAGTGCCCTACACAAGGAATGTGCACACAATGATTTTCCCTGTCTTTGGGTTTGACATCAATAGAGGAAGAAGTTATAGAAAACCTGATACAGATTCCCCTGCAATGCATTTTATTACTGCTTGAGGAGGTTCTGAGGGAGCTTTGCAAGCCAATCCTGTATACCTCTTACACCACATGCTTCAAAACAATAACAAGCTCCATGGTTTATAAGAAGTTACTTCTATGCTCAATGCTGTGAAAAAATATGTATGTATGTATGCAGAAAAATTGTCCTCTGTATATCTGTGACCCAAGAATCTTCTGAAAGGCACTCTGGACGGTGAATGTTCTCTTTTCCCAAATTTGAATTAGGGAGTAAAGTTTTGATGAATGCTCTTTCCTTGTTTTTTATTTATTGATATATTCAACCCAGTCTAATAAACTAGAGGATGGTTTTACTGAAGATAGCATAAGGTTCACAAAATCTGCATGAATATTTTAATATAAATTGGAAACGGTGAGTATTTTGGAAATGTTTCAATTCTTGGGTCAAGAACATTGAGGTTTACTTCTGCTCTGAATATCAAGACCGTGACTGCAGAGTTTCAGATTTTTGCAGTAGGTAAAGGCTTTTTAATGTGTGATGTTTAGGATGCGTTTAGAAACAAAACTCAAGCCCATTTTGTTTTCCTCCTATAATTCATCATAGGAGAATATGCCCTGCAGAACCCATTAGAACTTACTTCTGAATCAAGTCTCTTTTGATCCTAGTTCATAAGCGTGCAGGTTGCATTTGCCTGGCTGACAAATCTGGATGATGAATATTTTGTCAGAGAGTTAATTAGTCTGAAATTTCCCTGAATAAGCTTTATGTTGAATTCATCTCCCCACTTTACCCTCATGGCAAAATGCTAAGGAGATGTTAACCAGCACAAAGGTGTTGTCCTAGAGTGAACTTCCAAAAGGGACATTTAACAGTTAGCAAGTAACCTATTTGCCTTCAGAAGTTCTGGCTGGTCCATCACTGGAGGCTTTTAAGAAGAGGCAGGAGACCCACTTGTGTGGCATGGTATAGGGTCTCCTGCTTCGGACAGGTTGAACTTAAAGACCTCCAAGGACTCTTCCTACTCTATTCTTCTCTATTTCTGTATTATCTCTGTTACTATGGATCCTCTTGTAGACCCAAGAAGGGAGGATCATTGGGAAGAAACAAGGGACTGATGAATTTTCTACTGTGTCTACAATGGAGAGACACATAATGTGAACACTTAGCTTTCCGAAGAAGGATCTAATGGTTAGAAAAATGAAAAAACAACAGAATAGGACAATCAGCAGTAAGGTGGAAAGACTCAGTTCCAGCAATGATGAACGTATTATTGGAAGACTTGAAGGACCAGGTTAAAGACAGATCTTCTGTTCAGTAGGAGTTGGAAATGATTTGATAATTAATCTATATTGGACATATTTCCAATTTGGTAATACAGTATTATTTTTTCTTTTCTTTTATTCCCCATCTTTCTTCCTTATTCAACAATTATCCAAAATTGTGACTGGAGCTGTCACCCTTGTTCCAGGAAGTTCTCAAAAATTATTCCTCTTCAAGCGAGATTCATCATTTTCTACTAGTGCAGCAGGATAAGTCTTAAACCCAGAGAAGCTGCTAAGCGGTCCAATTATGTTTTCTGAATGCAGCTCCAATGAGAAGAATGATAGGATCATCTTTTCTTCAGGACTTGAAACATTATCAATTTGAAACACAAGGTTAGTAGAAATAACTACTTAGCATAGTATTGGTAGAAAGCTGTTCAATATTCACTGACCATTATAGAAGATATAAAATTACTGTAAGACTTTTTTTCTCAGAAATACTACACCTGCATTATAGCAATACCACTTAGATTATATACCGCTTCACAGTGCTTTACTGCCCTCTCTAAGCAGAATTTTCTTCTGACAGAAAGAGAAAAATGACTTTTCTCAGGTGAGATGGGAAGAGAGCACTGAGCAAATATAAAATAATCAGATACTTTAACCATGCAAAAATAGATTTTTTTCATGACTCCAAGTATGACTTATTTTGGACAGGTGAGAACACAGTGTGGTTTCCTATACTCTCTTAGGCTGATGACTACAAGTACCTTGATCCGATTCAAACCATCATTTATTACTTATGTCAGAGACCAACCATTTGATGGTCTACAGAGAATTAAAGCTGGTGAAATTGTGTTCATTTGTAATGGGCAACTGAAACAAAATTGAAGTTGGAATAATCTCTTCTCACTTCACTCTTTTTTTAGGAATGAACTAAATGGAAAACAGCACCACAGTGAGGGAATTCATATTGTTAGGGCTGACTAACAACCAACAAATTGCTGTTGGCCTTTTTCTCATCCTGCTTGGGATTTATTTTTTGACATTGATAGGAAACATGTTGATTATTATTATCACATTGGTGAATGCCCAACTCTGTAGTCCAATGTATTTCTTCCTCCGACATGTGGCATGGATGGAGATTGGGTATATAAGTAGCATCATTCCTAAAACGCTGGCCAACATAGCCACTGGTAACAAGAGTATCTCTTTAGCTGGTTGCTTCGTACAGATGTTCCTCTATTTTGTTCTTGGCACCACTGAATTCCTTCTACTGGCCACAATGTCTGTTGATCGCTACATAGCCATCTGTAAGCCTCTCCACTACACAACCATCATGAATGAACAAATCTGCTCATTATTGGTACTTTGTTGCTGGATTGGGAGTTTGTCACTCATTCTAGTTCCATCTGTTCTTTTCTTTCAAATGCCATTTTGTGGTCCTAACATCATCAATCATTTCTTTTGTGACAATGGAGCACTAATCAAACTCTCATGTGTTGATACCAGCCTCCTAGAACTGATTAATTTTATGATTGCCATATTCTCTCTGCTTGGGACCTTAAGTGTCAACATTGTATCTTATGTCAAAATCATTTCCACGATTCTGCGCATCCCATCAATTACAGGGAGGAAGAAGACATTCTCCACCTGTGCATCTCACATGACTGTGGTCTCCATCACTTACAGCAGTTGTGTTTTCATGTACATAAGACCCAAAGGCAGCAGCAAATTAGATTACAACAAAATGATAGCCCTTCTGAATACTGTCCTGGCTCCACTTTTGATCTCGTTCATATATTGTTTGAGGAACAGACAAGTGCAGGATGCATTGAGGACTGAACTGAGACAATGGATTGAGTTTTGCAAGAAATTGAAGTGATTTGTCATTGATATGACCTTGAATCAGATTTTAAAGTTCAACTTCTGCTTTGTTAAATTATGGCATGCGCTGCTTTCAGATGTAATGATCACACACTGAGGTGGTTTATAAGAGGACGTGGTAATCAGGAAGCAAAGCATCTGATAATCCTCAACAAAATAAAGCACAATATATCAGAAACATGCACAAAATATTTTGTTCTGTCTTTGGGTTTGATATCTACAGAGGAAACTGACATAAAATGCTTGATAGATATTTCTTGCAATTTGCAATAGGTTTCTTTGATCCTCAAGAAGTCCCTGTGGGATCTTCACAGTTAGTTTTGAATACATGTTGCACCTTATGCTTTAAAATGGTAACTAGCTTCATTGTTTATAAGAGGTGGCTTCCATGTTCATTGCCCTGAAAATATATGGAAGACAGCAAAACTGCACAGCGGGTACATCTGAGAATGCAGAAAGTTATGCTTCCCAAACATTGAATTAAGGGGTAACATTTTAACAGATGCATTTGCTTTGCCTCTGATTTGTAAGCAAAATCAGCACCATGTCACAATCTAGAAAAATGACTATTACTCACAGAAAATTGCAAGACCATAGCCTAGAGACCATGAACAATTTCTGAATCTGTTTTGTGTATATTGTAAGTGGTGGAAATACTGCCTGCCAAATATAAACTAAGGAGAGAAAAAAATGATATATATTGTTACTTTGCCTCTGATTTGTAACATTATTAAACATATCCTCTATAAAATGTTCTGTTTCTTAGCTGAGAGAGCAAGTGTTGTCAAAAACAAAACAAAACCCTCTTTTGTGGTCATGTGGCCAGCATGACTATATGCTGAGGCATACAGAATGCTGCTCCCTTCCTATCAAAGTGGTACCTATTTATCTACTCACATTTCTATGCTTTAGAACTGCTAGGTGGGCAGGAGCTGCAGCAAATTATGGGAGATCAACCTGTTGCACAGCATTCAGGTCTCAAATGTAGGCTGTCAGTTTTCCAACTAACAAGCTCAGCATCTTTAACTGCTGAGGCACCATGCCCTCTTTCAAAAATATACTTCCCTTCTACTATCCAATATTCAGTAGTGGTGAATATCTGTAGCTCAGGTGTAGGATGAGGGTAAAAGTTCATTGTCTGAGCTTGTGGGTTGGTTTCCAAACATTTCATTACCAGGCTAGGTAACATCTTCAGCAGAGTTTAGGGGATGTCAGTGTCAGCATTCTTCTGTTTATAAGGGCTTCAGGTGTGGATGTGTCAAGTGAGGGTCTTGTGATGGGTCTTGTAATGGGGAGGCTACAGTAGGTCAAGCTCATTGGGAGGTGAACTGCTGATGGAGGGGTGACTTGCATGGGTTGGTTGAGCATTGGTGCTATCTCTGGTTGGCTGTTTGATTGATTTAGATTCTGAGGGGTTTGTAGATTGGTTGTACATCAATGGTGGGATTCATCCAGTTCACACTGGTTCTATAGAGCCAGTAGCTAAATTTTGTTGAGTTCGGAGAACTGGTTGAACCCATGCTGCTTCTGGAAGTTTGTTCTAGGCCTTGGAAGCCTGGAGGAGGTCTCCCAGGCCTAGACTGGCCCACCGGAAGTGTATTGATGTCATTTCTGGAAGTCCGTTCTAGGCCTTGGAGGCCCAGGGCTGCATCCACACAGAGAACCGGATGTTCAGGTATTTAAATCCCACCACTGTTGTAGGTCAATGTGTCTATTGATGGAATTGCTTGTGGAGTGCCAGGCTTCGATTGTCCAATATCCCCTGAGAAAAAAAAAATGATTCTGGAGTAGAACTATAATCTGAGAAAACATTTCAGACGTGACCCTCCCTAGTTCTTATGAAGATAAGAAAAGAAACAATATGCATTCAGACTTGCAAGATTCTATTACTACAATCTTTTAATCAAAAGATTGTTAGTGTGATGGAATGTAGTAAGAAGATGGATTTCCAGGTGGGAGGAGTTACATTCCAGGACAGCAAGAGACAACTCAGTCCAGGTATTACATATGAAAGAGGTTGAAGACAGCCCCACACTGATACCTCAGAGAGTATATTGTAGGTGCATATAGTAGTGTTCTGGCAAGATTTTGTCTATAGATGTGACGCAATAAAGAACTCAGCTATGAAGAATCACCATTCTTAGCTTTGGATTGGTCAATCAGTTTGATGTCTTTGGTTAACAAGTTTGGTCTACCTTGGAGGGCTGACACCTAATTGTTTGAGAAAATTGCCTCAAGTTTTAGGAGAATCAGGTGAACTTTTTTCATAGAGAGAATGAATTCCCTAAACAACCAGTGGTGCTTGTAAACAAATTAACAAGTTTATCTCTTTAATTAAGATGGGAATTGCTACAGAAGGAACATACAGAAAACCTTCAAGGACATGGGCATAACTTTTTTGATTTACAAAAATGGGAGGATTAATAGAAAAAGAGGAAAGGGTTTGGAGAAGATATGTCTCCTTCTCATACTGATCTGCATTAGTATTCACTTTGTTTCTCCAATAACACTTTCCTCCTGGTAGCTGAAGACTTTCTGAGTAGCATTTTCTATAATGTAAATTTAATTTTACATTCAATTTAATAATCTCTCAACTATTCTCTGTTTTCAAACTCTTCTTATTGATCACTACAACTTCAAAAGGGATCAAATTATTATTTTTTATTCCAATGTTCTGAAAGAAAGTTTGGACGCATCAGACCTTTTCCATTTTTTTAGAGATTTTGTTCCAGAAATAACCCATAATGGAATGGCAGAAATATTGAACAAGACAGCTATGGTAACTGAGTTCATTCTTGTAGGCTTCGCCCGCATCCGATGGCTGCAGATTCTCCTCTTTTGGGTCATCCTTCTCACTTACCTTTTGACCATCATGGGAAACCTTCTCATCATCTACATCACTCTGGTTGACCATCGCCTCCATACCCCTATGTACTTTTTCCTCAGGAACTTCTCTGTCTTGGAAATAGGATTTACTTCTTCTGCCATCCCTAAGGCTTTGTTTAACTTGGCCTCAGGCAACAACACCATTTCTCTTGCTGGCTGCTTTTCACAAGCCTTTTTCTATTTTATTTTGGGCACCGCTGAATTCTTTATTCTGTCCACAATGTCCTTTGACCGGTACGTAGCCATCTGCAACCCTCTTCGCTACACAGTCATTATGAACAGCCAATTGTGTACTCAGTTAGTGGTAGGATCTTGGATTATCAGTTTCCTTTATGTCATAACGCCCCTCATTCTATTATTTCGTTTGCCCTTCTGTGGTCCAAATATCATCAATCACTTCTTCTGTGACAATATGCCACTGATCAAACTTGCCTGCATCAACACCCAATTTCTGGAATTGATGGATTTTCTCATGGCCACCTTTACTGTGCTGGGGACTTTGGCTATCACAATAATTTCGTACATTAAAATCATTGCTGCTGTCATGCACATTCCTTCCAGAACTGGAAGGCAAAAGGCTTTCTCCACTTGTGCTTCTCACATTGTGGTAGTTTTCATCACCTACGGGAGCTGCATTTTCATGTATGTCAAGCCCACACGAAGTGGTGGACTGGACCTCAGCAAGACGGTAGGTGTTCTGAACAATGTGGTTTCTCCTTTGCTCAACCCCTTCATTTACAGCCTGAGAAACAAGCAGGTGAAAACAGCTTTGAAGGATGCTTGTGGATGGAGATGAGCATCTTCTAGTCAGGGGAATGAGATATTTGAGAATGAATATAAGGGCATGTACAACATCAAACCGATGACAGCGTGTAGATTCCATACTTCAGTCCTTCAGATGGGAAAGTTAATGAACTAAGAGAAAAGACAGAGAGACTGAGAGAAAGAAAAAAGGACTTTGAAGAATATTTGTTATCCTTTGTTATCCTTGTAGATACTGCTCAATTAATAAAGGGCCTAAAGACTGGGCTCTACCAGTTGGTCTGCGGTTCAAATGGTGGAGTTCCAGTCTGGAGATGGCTGTTGAATTGCTGGCAGACTACACACACACACACACACACACACACACACACACACACACACACACACTTGTTCTCTGCTCTGTATCTGTCCCTCTCTTTTTTTTGGTAATCATATAGCTGTATTTCTCATTATATTCTTTTTCATGGTTTATTTCATTGCTTTGTTACCTTATTCCTGTTTCTTTTCACATTTTTTTTTCATTTCTCCTTTTTACGGTTATAAACCCATCATGGTGAGATAGGGGGCAAATAATTTTAATAAATAAATAAACATTGTATGTACCAGATGAAAAGATTAATTATATGAAAATGTTTACTCAGTCACATTCAGCTGGTGATGACTTTATTTTTTATACAAGTTTTTTTTTTATTATTCAGAATATTAAAATACAAACTTCAAAAAAAGAAGAATAAAATTACAGACAAAACAAAACTAGACAAGGCATTTTTGTTAAGTGCACTTTTTTAAAAAAAAAGACAAGAACACACACACACACACACATATATTGTCTCCCTTAGTTGAATACTAATAGATGTATTACAGCAATAATAGTTCCCCCCCCACGGCAAAATAGACTCACCATTATAAACTTATAAAGTTTCTTTTTCACTTGAAAAACCTGAAAAACATTTTTGTAGCTTAGTGTGGTGAATGAATAAGACATGTGGTGCGTTTGTGATACAGCTTATTTTGGACACGGGCTGAAAAATGAGCTCATTGAATATCTATCTTTCTGAAGTAGAAATTAAGGGTTGATTCAGACGTGTGAAGACCCAGCTTCAGGTCCATTCTCAGCTATGGAAACCATTTGCAGACTTGGGCCAGCTCTCCTCATTTATTTCACCTCCTTCATCTTGCAAGGCTACCATTGAAATGAAGAGAGATCCCATGGAAACTACTGTATCTTAAATTCCTACCAAAATGGCAAGATCTAGATTTTACAAAATGAATTTGTAACATGGCCATTTTGATGATTGTGTTATGTTTTGGTTGATGTTCTCCAAAGTATCTATTAAGGGAAGAACAAAAGATCTTAATATTGCTTCAACTCCCCTCCCGTCTCCAGAATAAGCGAATGTATTCTCGAAGATACATCTAAGAGTTCTCCATTCTGTTCAGTAATTTAAAAGCTATGCCTCCATTTATGTAGTAAGTAAATTAGTATGTCAAAGCTTCATACAAAATGAAAACTAAAATATCTGCAATGACCATTACAGAAGTAAATAAAATGCTGGATAGGGCAAAAAATGGTGTCAGCTACATGGATATCTGCACCACTGTCGAATGTGGTCTTGAGGGAAGGACATCATTGAGTTGTAAAGTTGATCTTAGCATAGGTACGCCCAAATACCACAGACCTGCTTCCCATTTCCTTTTCTTCACTCTCTTCCATTCTATCATTTGCTGTTCCTTATGACATAGAGACAATGTAAGATTGTCTCTATGTCAAGAGACATAGAGACTGGACAATCACCTGTTTGAGATGGTATAGATTCTGCTGCTTGAGTAGGGGGCTGGACCTCCAAAGTCCCTTCCAGCTCTATTCTATTCTATTCTATTCTATTCTATTCTATTCTATTCTATTCTATTCTATTCTATTCTATTCTATTCTATTCTATCTACTCTATCTCTACTTCTCTACTCTACTCTACTCTATTCTATTCTATTCTATTCTATTCTATTCTATTCTCTAGTCTAGTCTAGTCTAGTCTAGTCTAGTCTAGTCCAGTCCAGTCCAGTCTAGTCTAGTCTAATATTCTGTTTATGGTCAAAGTCATAAGTGTGAAACAATCAGAATGCAATGATTTCTCAAAAATTAACCGTATTTTTTTAATGTTAAAGTGGTGAAATGCAGCAACAATAATAACAACAAAACTCATGTACATTTTCCAAAGGGGAACAAAAAGACATAATTGAAGTATGCTGTGCAAAAAAGTAAATTCAGATAAATTATACTGGCTTAAATAAATCAAAAGGGGAAAAGAACAATTCTTTAACAGAAGAATGATCCATACAATTCTAGCTAACTGCATCAACTTAATTTGGTCCTTAAGGTGCTCATTAAATTGTATAGTATAGTAACATATTTCATTATCTTCACATTTTTGGACATGGAAACTTATAAAAAAATAGGTAACAAATTCATATTCTTGGTTACAATGTGAATTCAGTGGTATGACTATGAAAACCATTTGATGACCAGAAAGAAAGGGCTGAAGGTGGACACTAATTTTTTTCAGGAGCTAGATCTTTGGTGCTCAGAGATGGAATAACAAGATGAGACACATTGTGTTATGCAAAGTTTTTTTTCTTTTTAACTTGAACAGGAAGAGTTTGTCAGAAGGTCACAAAAGGTGATCACATGACCCCAGGACACTGCAATCATCATAAATATGTTACTTTTTCAAGTGCCATTGTAACTTTGAATGTTCACTAAATGAACTGTTGTAAATTGATTGATTCTCCTTTGTTGACACCCTGAATGGAGAGTGCTTAACTGTGCTTCAATTGATTCTTAACAATTGTTATTCTGTGTTTGTGTTGACCTTCTTATACAATCTCCAGTGCCTGCTTGGACTAGAGCCTGGGTCAGCAACCCACAGCTCCAGAGCCACAGGCAGCTCCCAGCCTCCTCTGCCCTTTGCAGAGAAAGAGACAGAGGCAGAGACAGAGAGAGGCACTCTCTCTCTCTCTCTCTCTTTCTCTCTCTCTCTCTCTCTCTGTGTGTGTGTGTGTGTGTGTGTAAAAAAGAGAGTGGCCTCACTATGTTCTCCAATGAACTGACAAGCTTATTGGTTGGGGCTCCTGCCTTGTCTGCATCTCTGCAGGAAGCAGGAACGGCAGAAGAGACCCAGCCCAATTTCAATGTGTGTCAGCTTGTTGGAGAACAGCTTGAAGCCAGCTTGCCAGGTGAGTAGAAGATCGGAGAGAGGGAGAGAGGGTGGGGAGAGAGAAAGAAAGAAAGAAAGAAGGAAAGAAAGAAAGAGAGAGGGAGAGAAGGAGAGGGGGAGAGAGAGAGGGAGTGAAAGAGAGAAAGAAAAAAAGAGGGAGAGAGGGAGAGAGAGAGGAGAGAAAGAGGGAGAGAAAGAAAGAAAAAGAGAGAGAAAGAGAGAAAGAGAGAGGGAGAGAAAGAGAAAGAGGAAAGATATAAAGAGAGAGAAAGAAAGAGAGAGAGAGGGAGAGAAAGAGAAAGAGAGGGAGAGGGGGGAAAGAGAGAAAGAGAGAAAGAGAGGGGGAGAGGAAAGAGAAAGAGAGAGAAAGAGAGAGGGAGAGAGAGAGAGGGAGAGGGAGAAAGAGAGAGAGGGAGATGAAAGAGAGCTAGAGAGAAAAAGAGATAGAGGAAAGAAAAAGAGATAAAGATAGAGGGGGAGAGGAAAGAAAGAAAGAGAGACAAGGGGAGAGGAAAGAGAGAGAGGGGGAGAGGAAGGAGAGAGAGAGGTAGAGGAAAGAGAGAGAGAGAAAGAGAGAGAGAAGAAAGAGAGAAAGAGAGAGGAAGAGGAAAGAGAGAAAAAGAAAGAGGGAGGGAGAGGAAAGAGAGAGAGAGAGAGAGAGAGAGAGAGAGAGAGAGAGAGAGAACTCATGCATAGCAGCCTCTATTTCTTTTTAATTAAACTCTTCAATCAAGCTCCCCCCCTCGTGCGCGTGCATGTGACCATGCAAGTTTTGCGGCTCCTAGTGTTTTTTTTTCCTCTGGGAAATGGGTCCAAGTGGCTCTTTGAGTGTTTAAGGTTGCAGACCCCTGGACTAGAATATGCTATCATTTTTGAAAAATACACAAATGTAAAAATCTAATTGGACTATTGCAATGTTCTTTACATGGGATCCCCCCTTGAAGACTAACAATAAACTGACAAGTGTAAAATCTAGAATTTCATAAACATACTGAAACAAACTACTACTATCATGTCAAATCAATATTTGGGGAACTACACCGCTTGCTTGTTTATTTCCAGGTTTATTTCAAAGTTGTGGTGAGCAAATTCTGAATGTCTTGAAAGTATCTGAGATGCCTTCCTCAAAAGACAAGCTTCCCATAAAAAAAATCCCAATTAAGGTTCCCCCAGTGGGCAGCTTCAGTGAGTATTTTTGGTGTTTTCTCTATAAGAGATAACAGAGACATGATAGCAGTGTCCCAAAATTTGAGGGTCTGCCACAAAGAACCTAACCTATTTTCCAAAGCACCCAAAGACAGGACAAGAAGCAATGATGGAAACTAATCAAGAAGCGAAAAAAAAAAAAAAAGGGGCAACCTGGAATTAGGAAAAAACTATTCTACAGTGAAACAATTAAGAGAAGCACCTAGAAATAAAGAGGACAATTTTCATGACAGTTGAAACAATTATTAATCACTGGACAACTTCCTCCAGAAGTTATGGGTGCTACAACACTTGAGGTTTTGAAGAAGGGATTGGACAACCATTTGTCTGAAATGGTATAGGGTTGAACTAGAACAGACATGTCAAACACAAGGCCCGGGGGCCAGATACGGCCCATGAAGTGGTTTCATGTGGCCCACGAAGCCATCCTGTAAACAGTGAGGGAATGGCTCCCACTGCCTTGGCCCTGGCCCAGGCCAGCCGGGAGCCAATGTACAATTTTGTGCTGGCCATCTTGGCACTTGCCCCTGTGGACCATGCCTTGGCACTTGCCCCGGTCCCACCCTTTTCTGCCAGAGACCCTCAGATCTGTCCCACTCCTGCCCAGGCCCCCACAGGCACCCTTGACACAAATGATGTAGAACTGGCCACGCCCATCCAGTAGGCCACACCCACTCCATCCACACCCACCCAGTAAGCTGCACCCACCCTGGCCACACCCACCTGGCCCTCTGAGGGCAACCGCAATGCTGATGCGGCCCTCAGTGAAGTTGAGTTTGACACTAGAAGATCTCCAAAGTCCATTCCAAATCTGTTATTCTGTTAAGAAGGGTAGAGGATGAGATTTCCTGCCAAGATCAAAGATTTTCTGGCTATAGACCAGCATGTTGGATAGATAATTTCCCTTATTCTCTTTTGGGTGATTGATTCCATTACAAATAATAAAAAGACATTTATGCATATAGAACATATTTATAATTTGAAAGGGTGATAACTGTTTCCCAGTTACTCTTATTAGAGGAAATGTATTGCTTCTATTTATCTCTAATAACTAGCTTTTTTTTTCTATTTAAATTCTTTGCACACTCCATTAAAATAAGTGGAGGAAGGAAACTGCAGGAAAAGAGGCAGTAATCTGAAAATAAGTTAATTTGTGTTCTATTGAGATGAAGTTCTATTTACAA